TGGAAACGGAAAAAAAAAAAAAACCAAAAAAAAAAAAAAAAAAAAAAAAGAAAGTTACCAGCCTATACTGTTAAACTATAACCCCACCTTTGTTCTTCCTGTAACTTCTTGGTTTGGAAAATAAATGCAGGAAGAGAACCCCAATTCAGAGTTAATTTCCTGAGGAAGGGATGCCTCTTGCTGGAGGGTCCCGGGAAAGTTAACCACTTCGGGGCTTCTCACTGCTCAGAGGAGATGGGCTTTGAGTAATCCTTTGCATCTCCATCACCCAGAAGAAGTGGGGTGACAAATCCATGGGGGGCAAAGTGTAAGACCGGCCTAAAGGCACGAATCTTAACTTGATGGGAAGGCTAATCTCGCAAAGACCAGGAAGCACAGAGATCGATGCACAAGCAAGAGGTTTTTATTTCCAGCATGCTGGAGGTCGCCCCGTTTTCAGGACAGGAGCGGCCCCGAGCTCTTAACTCAAGCATCTTTTATACAGTTTGGTAGGCAGGCTTTCATAACAGGCTGGGTTGTACACCATTTATTGGCCACTTTAAGCAATTTTTAAAACCATTGGGCTTTTAGCTTTTGGCGGGCAAAGGAAAGACTGAGGTATTGACCAACGGTCCACCCCCCCGTCTTTCCTCCCTTGGTGTCCAAAGATAAGGTGTCATGCTGTTCCTGCAATCAGGTGAGCATACTCCCTTCCTGGGACAGGGTGAACTTTGGGCTCTTTGGAAAGTCCCTTCCCCCTGGCAGTGGAAAGTCCTAATCTTCTGGCGATGAAAGGTCTTAAGCACCTGGTAATGGAAGGTCCTAAGTATCTGGTATTGTTTACCAAAAAGGTTGGGGGTTATCTCTACTTCCACAAAAGCAACACAAAGCAACAGGAAAGTTGTGGTAAGTCCAATATCTGCAGGGTAGGCCAGCAGACTTGAGACCCAGGGAGTTATAGTTTGAGTCCAAAGCCTCTGTCTGCTGGCAGAATTCCTTCTTGTTCTGAGGAGGTCGGTCTTTGTTAAGGCCTTAACTGATTAGATGAGGCTAATCCACATTATGGAGGGTAACTGGCTTTACTCAAATTCCACTGATTTAAACGTTAATGTCATCCAAAAAACACCATCACAGACACATGCAGAATGTTTGACCAATATCTTGGAACAATGTCCCAGCCAAGTTAACATAAAATTAACTGTTGGAGACCAGCTCCAGTCGAGTTGTGGGTACCCGAAAAGGGAGAGGGAGGGTCGGCGAAAATAAAAAACACAGAGACCTCAGTGCATCAGTATGCACATTCTCTCTCTGCAGGCTGTCAGCGTGTTGCAGCTGGAGCACAGTAGAGCATGAGACAATGCCTTTTATTTAGATTTTTCTCTGCAGGGGGGGTTTTGGAGGAACTATTTTTTATTATATCAGCAAGCTTAAATCAATGGTCCATAAAGCAGGGAGGAAACTTTTTTAGAGGTCAGCACGTCTTAGGTGATCAACTCGTGCTTCTATTTCCTGGAATCAGGTTTATCAGATTCAAACCATCCCTTCATTGTCTTGAAGTTATCTTGTGACCTTTCTCTATAGCAAACTGTGGTTAAGATCCACCCTGTTAAGAGGGTGGGAGCCAAATGTAAAAGAACAGCAGATATTTGATTATCATGCACATTTTAAGGTTATACATTTGCTGTGGC